GGTTAGCCATTTCCGCGCCAAAAACTTCACGGAGCCGCACTTGGGAAGCACGCATGCTCGGGAGCTGAATTTGATAATTTTAAGCTGAACATGTGCTAGCAGTACTTTCTGAAAATTCCAGCCTCCCAGCTTTCCTGGTTTCAGAGTTAGCCATTTTCCTGCCAAAAATTTTCACGGGGCCGTACGTGATTACCACTCATACTGAGGGGCTGAAACTGATAACTTTAAATTGTATTTGTACTGGGAACATTCCCTGGAAATTTCAGCTCCCCAGCTTTCCTGGTTCCCGAGTTAGCCATTTCCGCGCCAAAAACTTTTCACGAGGCCCTATGTGATTACCACGCATGCTGAGGAGCTGAATTTGAAAAATTTTAGCTGGACATGTGTTAGCAGTATTTCCTGAAAATTTTAGCCTCCCAGTTTCCTGAATCCCGAGTTAGCCGTTTTCGCGCCAAAAAATTTTACGGGGCCGTACGCGAGCACACACAAGCTGGAGGGCTGAGTTTGATAACTGTAAGTTGTACTTGTGCTGGGAACATTCCCTGAAAATTTCAGCTTCTCAGCTTTTCCGGTTCCAGAGTTAGCAGTTTTCGCGCCAGGAACCTTCACGGTGCCATACAGCGGGAACCACACACACCTGGAGGCCGACTTTGAAATCCCTGAGCTCTATGTGCACGAGGAACATAACCTCAAAATTTCAGCTTTCTAGCTTTTCTGGTTAGCGATTTTCCCGCCAAAACTTTCACCTCCTCGTACGCGGGGCCCAGACTCTCATGAGATTTGGTACCGCGGTCCTGGGATGGCACTTGGCCGGGGAATCCACCTGCAAAATTTTGGCGCCAGAGCTTGCTAGGGTGCCGAGTTGAAACACCTGGACAGACACACACACACACCGGGGCCGTCACAATATGCGTTTTCTCATTTGCATATATGCAAAAACGCCTGCCAAAATTTCTACGGGACCGTGCGTGTACTCACGGGTAGGAGAAGGCTAAATTTAAATTTCCTGGGTCGCACGTGGGCAGGGGACATGCCCATAAGATTTCAGCTTTCTAGCTTCCGTAGTTCCCGTGATAATATTTTTACCCACCAACACTTTTACGGGGCCGTACGTTTTGCCCGAGGGTACGGGGAGGCTGAATTTGCGGGTTCACACTTGGGCGGGGAACATCCTCCTAAATTTTCAGCTTCCTAGCTTTTGTGGTCCCCGAGTTGAAAATGCGGGACAAAACGCACTCGGACACACACACACAAACACACACAGACAACCCCGTGACAATATATGCTTTTTGTACTGCTGTTACATAGCACAAAACGCATAAAAATGAATTCAGGAGGTGGTAACTGGAGCTCGGCAGCGCACTGATACTGAATCCAACCCCACAGTTTGAGAGAAAACAGGAACAGATCCATCAACCTTAAAAAAGTTCATTTATTTAAGTTTCGCCCTTTCTTTTTCATTTCCTGAGAGTAAAAAATATGAATTTAACAGATGTGGTGCCATTTTCAATTAC